AAAATATTCTTAAATTTTCAATACATAATAAGTTTTAAAGTTATACATCGAATTCAATTTTTGAATTAATAGATTTAATAATTTATTTAAAAAATATATAAGTTTTGAGTTATACATCAAATAATGAGTAGATTTAATAATTTATTTAAAAAATATTCTTAAATTTTCAATACATAATAAGATAATGTTTTTTTCATATTAATTAAATTATAAATTTAGTTTTTAAATTATCAAATTTGTATCTAAATTGGCTATTAGATTCTCAAACTTCCATTTATTTTTCAAGTTTCTAAATTTAATATTAAAAATTTGCAAATTAATTAATATATAAAATATAAAAACTAATTTTATATCTAACCCAATCATAAACTTTCAATCCAGTGTGAATTTCGATAAATGTCAATATGTACAAAAAAAAAAAAAAAAAAAAAAAAAAAAGAGAAAAGAAAAAACCAAAATAACAGACCCTTAAAGCTACAATGAATGATAAATGGTTCCATTGTTTCACGAATCATGATGGTTATGACTCCTGAAATGTTATCATTTTATTCATGTAACAGTGAACAAGATCTTTCTTGTACTTGTACTAACGAACAGTCCATCTTTATTGGCCATGTGTTAGGTGCTAGATGCATTGGTCAGCCTCTTTTGTCGTTCAAATATCTCCGCAGAAATATTGTGGGATGGGGGGTGGCTTCTGCGTCAGTTGTTACCTTACAGTGAGGCGGAGTTTAATAGTCATCATCTAAAATTGTTGAAAGTAAGTTATACATGGAAGAGTACTGAGAACATTTTTCTCGATGAAAGCTCGGTTTCTTATAGAAAAAGAAAAGAGAGAAAGCACTTTCCTTTTCTGTTTTTGATTGTTTGAAGGAAATTTGTCATGTTTATTACTTACATCAGTAAATGAAAGGGTTTAAGCTTATTTTTTCTGATCTTTTTTCTCTTTGAAATTTAATAGGATTCATATAAGTACTGCGCTTCTGAGCTCCTAAAGGAAGCTAGAGGGATTTGGTCGGATTTCCTCATTATTCTTCTGTCAGACGAGTGGAAAAAGTGCAAAAGAGGTATTTATTTAATGTGATTTGACGAATGTTAAGTGTATCAAGTGTTTTCTGGGTGCTGAACCACTAAACTTTCCGTAGTAATTGAAGCCCCATCACCAAGGAAAGAACCAAAATGCATGCTCTTGCACCATGCGAAGGCTTCTGTTGTAGGTAAGAATAATGACTAGCTATAAGATTCGTAGTCTTATTATTTTGTCAGAAGTTGGGTGGTTCATTTAATGTATGGTGAGATTGAATGCTACTGCCCCAAGATTTTAATGTTACTTCTTGTCCTTACAGATGATGCTGTTCCACCTGAATCATCATTCGCTGCTGGTCAAAGAATGTCTGAGTTGGTTAAGGTACTTCCCTCTCGCTAGTAAAATATGAAATAGATTCCGTTAGAAGTTAACAAATTAGAAAAAGGACAAAAATAAAAGGGAACAAACAATAAAATATCATACACTAGATTGCCATAAATTTCAAAAAGGTATCTTTAAACTTACCAGTTATTGATGCCCGACCAAGGGAAAATTCAAGGCATCATGCTTTTGTATTGGGAAGATACTCCTTGGTGGGGGTTATCTCTACTTTGGGCCCTTAGGTTATTCGCCCCTCCTTTTTGTGTCTATAACGCTTGTTCTGTTTCTTATTCCAAAAAAAGAATGAAATGCACCATGCTATGCATCAATTTCAAAATTCTCTGTGAGAATGCCCTGAAATATCTTCTGAATCCATTCAATCAACTTCCGAATCTGCCATTAATCAAGATAGAAGGGAAAAACTAACTTCCACCAAACTTTAGCTTATGATCACTTGTCCAGATAAGTTTAATTATTGATCATCCGAAACTCAGCTCTAGACAGATGCGGGTTTACGCGTACATTATTGTCTTAAAGTTGAATTGTTTTTTAAACAAAAAAATGTCAGCTACTTTAAACATATTTTCCCTCCGAAATGGGTGAGATTAAATAAAAGAGAGCGAAAAGATACAGGATATTTGTTCTATTTGTTTTTCCCCATGCAATTTACTATTCTGTATGAAGCTTCTTTTAGCAATATCTTGTCCTCTTTCCATTCCAGGTATTTGTTCTTCTACACCAACTTCAGTCATTTTCCCATGGCAAGGCTTTGTCAGAACAGCCTGGTATTGGCCCTCCCTCGGAAATTCCTGAATGTTCCCGTGCAAAGGTTGCTGAACTAGATGCTTCGGGACCTAAACCGGGTGCTGAGATGAGACTTGGTTAGTTTTAAACTTAGAATTGCATAATTTAGGTTCTACCATATTTTTAAATTAATCACGTAGGTTGCCATGAGTATGTGAATAACTATCCAAGTTCTTGCCATGTAGATGGTTCTGTTCCTTGTAGAATTGCGTTCGAGAGGGGAAAAGAGCGCCATTTTTACTTTCTTGGAACCTCTATGGGAACTTTCGGGTGGATAATTCTTGCTGAAGAAGTGCCATCAAAACCGAATTATGGAATTATTCGAGTCGCTGCACCTCTTGCTGGGTCAAATGTAAGATTTCATTCGCATGAAACTATTTAATGGCAAATCTTTAATCTGTCCTTGCCTGGATGATTATGAATTCTCAAGTCATAACTGTTCTTCTGCTCCTATCAGCCTAGAATAGATGAAAAACACTCAAGGTGGCTGCATTTGAGAATTCGTCCATCAACGTTACCCTTTCTGGATCCTGCTAAACACGGTACCCCGTCAAAGTTAAAGACGAAACCGTTTGTGGATGGGAGATGGATCCTAGCATTCCAGGACGAGGATTCTTGCAAATCCGCTTTGTCTATGGTTCTGGAGGAGATTAATCTGCAAAGCAAGGAGGTAGAGAGAAGACTGAAACCATTGGTCGATCTCGAACGAGCTGTAGATTCATCGGATGCATCTGTATGTTCTTCTAAGACATTGACTTCTAATGCAACTCCTAATCTATTGTGAGTATGAATGAATGTATCAATTTTCATATATGTTATTCCCCTAATAATAGAATTGCTTAATCACCGGGTGATGTATTATTTTATGTAACCACCCTTCTATATGTTCAGCTCCCTCCCTACCTCAGAAATGCGAAGCAAAGAACAGTAGTTTTAGCATCTGAGAGTTTGTATCATTCTTTGTATAGTCTTTTTTCACATCATTTGTTGACTGGTTTTAGCCCTTCATTCTTTTCTTGATCTAACCATATAGTTGATTGAACCTTAATGTTGGTGCAATTTCCCCTAAGCTTTTTTCACCATCATCTTATAATCTCTCTCAATCTCTTTGTATTATAATGTTTAAATTTTGAATGTCCCGAGTCACATTTGAAAACTTGTAGACAAATTCCGAGGTTTGAACATAACACGTTATAGATATTGTATTCTTTGGGCTTTCTCTCCTTAAGGTTTTAAAAACGCGTCTGCTAGAGTGTTTTGTTCTCCTTTCCAATCGATGTGAGATTTCACAATGCAGCTCCCTTTGGGATTCAGTGTCCTCATTAGCACCCTTCTCCAAGAGATGTGGGATCCCCCAATCCACCCCTCTTGGACTCGAGTCCTTGTCGTATGTTTAGCTTTGATATCATTTGTAACAGTCTAATTTTGTTGCTAATATATATTGTCCTCTTTAGGTTTTTCCTTTCAATCTCTTTCTCAAGGATTTTAAAATGCATCTCGAGACAATTAAGATGAAATATATATTCTTTTTATCTAGAAAGTAAGACTTTTAAGATTAAGATCATGCATTCGTGAGACAATTAAAAGGAATTTAACCATGTCGAGTTTTATTTTGCTTCCAATAATTAGAGATTAGCAATATTTAGTTACCCATTTAGTTACCCAAAGAAGTAAAAGAAGTTGGTCAATGATTGAGACATTGCCTCGACTTTTTCGAAGATAAATCTATCCTCAACGAGTGAAAGAAATTGAACTGCAAGTTTAGTAGACGACTGAGATTGATAGAGAATTTAACAAGTAAATATTATGACATTTTGGTGTACGTTGAAAATGCAAGAACGATGAGAAAAATTATATCAAGTGATTTTAAGAGTTGGAAAAGTCCGTGTTTTCCGCCATACATTTGGGCTAAAACAATAAAATGATTTCTTGTATAATGATATTTCATGAGAATTGTTCTTGGTGAATGACGTTTTGGTGTACAACAGGTCAAATTTTATACGTCAAGAACATTTGTTATTACGACTTTGGACATTGAAAAGTAATTTAGAAAGTCTATATATATAAAAAGCGGAAGAAGAATGATGTACTACTACTCACGCCTCTTATCCCATCTCCACCACTCGCTCATTTTACTCCGTCCTTTTTCAAGTGGACTTCCACCCAGAAAAAATAAATTGATAGATGGTACAAAGCCAACACCTAATGCAAATACCATCTGACAAATGACCCTAAGACTGACCCGATGTTTAAAGCTGAAACCCGACATCTAAAACCTTACTAATTCAGGAAAAGTGGAGCCACCAACGACATTCGGCCCCTATCTAACTACCAATTCTCGTTATTATTATTATTATTATTATTATTATAAATCAACAAACAAAATCTTTGCATTGGGCTCTCTCTATTATAATAAATAAAATAAATTAAAATTCTTCCCCCTCAAAAATTCAATTATATTTCACTTTTTTATTTTTATTTCTCAAATTTTAAATTTCTTTTTTTTCCAATTCTATTTTCAAAAAAAAAAAAAAAAAAAAAAAAAAA